TGGATCATCTGTTCGTCTCTTTTAACTCTTCTTTCTGTTGGTTGTGTTTGCTAACTAATTTGAAGGAGTACTTTGTATTATATGTTTTTTTTTTAATTCCTTGTTTGTTACATAATTGCAAATATTTTATCTCATTTGTCTTTTAACTATGATTATTTTGTCTTGTGCTATGCAAATGTATTTAATTTAATAAGCTATATTGCAAAATATTATCCTGTATGGCTTCTTGAACATATATGTCTTATGTAGGAAGGCCTTCCACTCCTGAGGTTATACAAATACTTTTGTAAGTTTTCTTCTAATATTATTATTGTTTTGTTTTTATGTTTAGCTCTTTAATCCATCTGGAAATGATTTTTGTATATGGTGTGAGGTAGGTATCTAAGTGTATTTTCTTAATGAATAGTTCATTGTCCCAACACTTTAATTACTAACCCATCATTTCATATATTAAACTCCAATATTTACATATGRGTCTGCCTCTAGACTTTGAGTTTGTTCCATTAATAAATTTTTCTATCCCTATGCCAAACTACAATGTGTTCATTACATAGTTCAATAAAATATTTTGCTCATAGAGCAAATCTCCATCATTGTTCTAATTTCAACAAGTTTTTATCAAGTATTTACTACTCTAGATGAATTTGGATTCATGTTGTTGATTTCCATAAACCATTCCATTGGGGTTTTTATCTACATTGTTTTGAACTTTTAGACTATTTTGAGGGAAGAATGACACGTTTGTGATATTGATTCTTCTTTTTGAGGGAATTATAAAAAATTCATTTATTTAGGTCTTCTTTTCTGCTTTTTTTTCAACACTTTTATTTAAATAAAATTGTATATTTTCTGCTAAGGATTATGTCTCAGGGTTTTAAACATTGTGTTGCTATTTTACAAATAATTTTATTTTCCAGTGCATTTTAAAGTCATTGCTACTGACATGTGAGAAGAGTTTGACTCTTGTGTTATCCTTTTATATCTGGATAATTTATTAAGTCTATAATACTTTTAATTGCTTCTAAGGTTTTATCAGTTAGTATGATATTTAGTGTGCTGAATAAAGGAAGTTATATTCTATTACTAAGGGATTAGAGCTTTTAATCATAAAAGGGCATTGGAAAATTTTGGYATCTTCTCAAAGGATGTTTTTTTTCTTTTATTTTCCATTTAGTAAATTAAACCAGATTTCTTAATGTTGATGCATTCTTGCATTTCTGTTATAAACATTCTTCAATTATGTGTGGGATTTCTGTGATTTGCTSCTGATTTGATGTGTCATTCAGATTTGGAGACTATTCATAACAGAGATAGTTCTATACATGCATAGATTAAAAATCTGTATTTATGTATTTAAGGTTACATGTTAAGCTTGACTGATTTTGTTATCAGAAATATTCAAGCCAAAGGGAAAAAAAATCAAGGGGAAAGAAAAAAGAAATATTCAAGCCACAGAAGTGGTTTGAGAACATTTCTGTCATTTTTTTGCTTTGGAAAAATATAAATAAGATAGAAAATGTTAGTAGAACTCAATCATACAATCATAAAACCATCTGAACCTATGACATTTTTTATGTATAGAGTTTTTACTAGAATTGCAGTTGTTTTTATATTCTTGTTTTCTACATTTCATTAATGTTTTCTAGTAAACCAATCACTGAATCTTTATTTTCAAATTATTGTTGTATTTCAAATTATCTCCTCTGTATCCCTTATTAACCTTGCCATACATTTATATAACTTTTGAAAGAACTAGCAATTGACTGTGCAGACCGAGTCTGCTCTTTTCCCCTTTTTGGTTGTTTGTTTTACTTTGTTTTGTTTGATACCAATCGATCCATATTCATTTTATTTTGGCTTTATTATTTAGTGCCTTTTACTTTTCCTACGTTTGTTTTTAGGTCTCTCTGTCTTTTACCTTGGATCCTTATTTASTTTAGTTATATTTTAACTATTTTTAAAATAGTGTTTAGATGCTATATTATACCCTCCAAATTACTTTCACTATATTCCTCAGGATTTAATGAATAGGACATTAGTTAATATTATAATATATAGTTTTAAATTTTATTTTTATGTTTTCTTTATTAGGTTTTTAATTGCCCAAAGAGAACCATTTAAAAAAATTAAACTTTTGTTGTTAATTTCTATTTTGTTTTATTTGATGAAGAAAGTGTTTTTTGCTTTTATTCTTTATCTTTTTCCTCTTAGAATTTCAGATTTTCTTTGAGGTTTATTATGTGGTTGGTTTCTATAAATATTTTAATTTAAGGTAATTATTTTTAAGGAGTCTGAATGACATAAACCATCACACAACATATTTATCCATCAAAACTCATTATTCATATTTTAAAAAATGTCTTTTCATTTATGTTGTCATTTTGATATTTTAATTTGTGAAAGAAGTGTTTTAATTTTCCATTATAATGATAGGTTTGTTAGTTTTGGTTTATGCCCAATTTTACTATATATATATATATATATATATATATATATATATATATGTGTGTGTGTGTGTGTGTGTATACTGTATATACACACACATATTTTATATAGTGTTGCTATGTTAATTGGAGCATAGTATTTATGATTACCATAATAGTAAATTTTTCTATCTTTAAATATGATATTAAGTATTAAGTATACTGAAAATATGATACAAACTACTTTTTTTTTCCAACTTATTCCTGACATTTGGAAGTCTGTTTTTATATACACATGTGAAAAATACAAAATGTATAAAAATAATCAATAAAAGTAATATTATTGGTCATATATATGTATATATACGTATACACAAAAGTATATGTTTATACTTGCATATATAGGCATATATAATATATGCCTGTATATTTGTGTATATGCATATATAGGTTGATTATATTTTCCTTTTATTGCTTGTATTTTTTCTTTTATTTTTAGTATTTTTTTCGATTTTATTTTAGATATGAGTTTTCTAAATAACATGAATCCTGTTTTTTTTAACCCTTAATTTTTCTCTCACTTAAGAGGTATTATAACCTGTTTTTACTTATTGTCTACAGTAATAATTCTAAACCTCTTTTTTATTTCGTGGTCTAACTAATGCTATTCCTCTTTCTGTAGTCTTTTTGGTATTGGTTAAAGATTTTGGTTCTGTTTTCCTGAAAATGGTTAGGAAGTTAGGTGTACACTTCTATTCTTCTGGAAGTTGCTTTAAAACTTTAAAAGCACATTTAAACTGTCATAATCAACCATTGTTCATTATCTGTAGCCTTTTCCCCTCCTTTCTAAATAATAAATTTATAAATTCAGGAGCTAATTGTGGTTTTACCTACAAGATGCCCATGGACTACATTGTGCCCTCCCCCCATTGGCCACAAGGCTAACTTGATGTCTGCAAATACTTGATACTGGGCAGCTTGCTCAGGGACTCTGCAGATTTTCCTTTATCAGGCTTTTAATTTTTTTCTGTATATACTCTTTTATGCATTTATGGTTGAAATTATATGGAAATTTCATTCCAGATAGATGTTTGTAGTAACAGTGGTGGTACTATTAGCATTATTGGTATTATTATTTACTTTTTCTCTATTTTATAGAAAGCCCTTATTAGTATAGTATTACCTTTTACTACCAAATTAGCAACTGTTATTTGAATTTAAGCTGCATTCTTGTAGCTTATTTGCTCTGTATTATTCGTAATGTTCCAAATCATTGTTTATCTTGGATTCTTTTCTCTTTTTTTTTCAAATATATCCTCAATTAATTTCTGCTTTATTAATGAAGGGTTGTATGTAGTAAATTTTCTGTTTTWGCTTGTTTGAAACAAATATCTTCAGTTGTTTTTAAAATAGACATAGACCTTTCCTGATTATAAAATCCCAGGTTGAAAACAACTGTTCTGCAAACCCTTATTATCTGTTATCTTCTAAAATACTTCAAGTGGATAAGGCAAACATGACTTCGCTTTAGAGAAACAAGATTGCCCATCTCCCAAATCACTCTTTAAATGTTCATTATTATTATTCCTCTAGCTCATCCACCTYAGAAATGAAAACTTTGAGTTAATTGTTTATCAGAACATTTATAAAGAACTCTTTTTTTATCAATAGTAAGCACTTTTGCCTCAACAAATTCCATGTATCTGCCCAATGTTCCAATTTTTGAATCTGTATTTAATAATGATGCAGTTACTTCCTGAGTTTTAAAACATGTTGTGAATTTTCTTCCACTGCTGATAATATTCTCGACCTGCTGGGGAACGTGGCTCTCCCTGACATCCTTTTAAGGAAAAAAAATACCCTGAATGTTGGCTCTTGTTAGTGGCTTTCTGTTGTCCTCAGATCAGTAAATCCACAAATGGCTGATAGTCTTCTTAGGCCACATTAAAGACTGTCTTCCTTATTGACTTTTGAGATATTATTAAAAACTGTCATTATTTCCCTCTGTCCACCTGATATCTTATTAGTATGTGGTTTTTCCTTGCTCTTGGAACTTCCCTGTCCCTTGGCGTGAAATCCCAAAATGTGGTAAGAAATTTAGGATTGACAGGTAGGAGCTAGTCAGAGTTTTACCTATGAGATGCCAGTGGACTACATTGTGCCCTCCCCACATTGGCCAACAAGGCTAACTTGATGTCTGCAAATACTTGATACTGGGCAGCTTACTCAGGGACTCTGCAGACTTTCCTCTAGAAGATTTTAAGATTTTTATGGTAGCACCGGATTCTGAAACCTTCTCTCTTACTTCAGATCACCTTGAGGTCTTTCATCACACTTAGTATCAAGGAAACTACCTTCTTCAGGTGTTATTTCTTACTGCTACTCTAGCTGCCTCCAGTGTTTTAGTCTCAGACGTCAGTGTCTCCACTCACCCTCTGATACAAGTTGCATCAAGTAGTAGCCATCTTAGAATATGATGCATGGAAGAGATTGTATCTTCACATGAAGCTTACAGAAAGACATGACTGATTCTGGTCATCTGGTCACTCTCTGTGCCTCTGTCTTGACCCTTTTTAGGTGGGAGGACACACTATGCTCCCCATCCGCTGGATGCCCCCTGAAAGCATCATGTACCGGAAGTTCACTACAGAGAGTGATGTGTGGAGCTTCGGGGTGATCCTTTGGGAGATCTTCACCTATGGAAAACAGCCATGGTTTCAGCTCTCAAACACAGAGGTAAAAAGGRGGGCACACAGGAATCCTGATTGGGGGAAAGATTGTAGCTCAGGCCAGGAATTGGCCATAGTGTACAAAACATCAGTTGGGATTTGGAGCCAGCAGAATGGATGTAGACATAAGTAAGCAGAGGGGGAAGCYTGCTGAGTGTGGTGGTACATGCCTGTAATTCCAGTGATTCAAGAATCTGAGGCAGGAGGACCGCAAGTTCAAAGCCAGCCTCAGCAATTTACCAAGGCCCTAAGCAACTTGGTGAGACCCTTTTCATTTTCTTAAAATGAAAAATAAAAATGGGCTCAGGATATGGCTCAGTGGTTAAGCCCTGGAACTTGAAAAGAAAAAGGGAGTGGGATATAGAGTGGGGAAAAATTGTAACCATAAGAAATATAGTATTATTGTTAAAAGGGCATGAAATCAGATGTCTAAATGGAGATAAAAGTCATGGTTTTATTTGTTCTGCTATAGTTAAAAATCACAAGTGTTTAACCAAGACAGGAAAGGAAAACAAAGAACAACAATGAGTTTTTCAATTGTGCCATCTTGTGGAAATATCTACTACCGGGTATGCCCCAGGAATCTGGGTCCCCAAGGGTTTTAGGCACACCAGCCCCAACGATGTATAAGATGGTGAACTGAGAAAGTCAAGTGCATATAATGGAGAGAGTGCTGTGTGAATTTCTAGGAATAAAATAAGTCATAACAGTAAGCATAATAATAAACAGAATATTTTTATAATCTTAATTTAAATAACAATAAAAATGAAAGTGACTGAATTTTAATAATAGATCACATTTAGCACTAGGCACTTTCCTAAGCACTTTAGCTGTGGTAATTTAATAATTTTCACAAAAACACTTGTTGAGATTCAGTACTAAGGAAGGGGGATTATTTGGAATCCTGGAGTAGACAGCCTTGGAGGTGAGAACCCCAGGAKCAGGGACAGAGCCTGGGCTGTGGTCACAGGACCCTTCTGCTTCCAAACCTTCCAAACTGCTTCTCRGTTGAGTGTAGACCAGAGCCATATTGCCTGTGGGGGATTCAGTATAGTTCATAGACCTGAAGGGGATTTGTCTCCCAACCCAGCTCACTTATAATACATTGCAATTCTTTTTATGGTCTTCTGTTTTCTGGGAAAATGTAAACATTAGGACCTTTTAGTTTTGAAATCTTATTTTATATTCAAGACAGTTTCTTTCTTCTTGAAAGCTATATTCATCTGTGCTCTCCTATGTCCTGACCACTTAATTAARTGAATTTCAAAGACTGAAAAGAAGGCATTTCTCTAAATCTGTAATATCTTACTATTCAGAAGCTCAGTGGGGCCTGAACACATTTCCCAAAGTAGGACAAAACACTGTATAACCTTTTAAAATAAGGTAAGAGAATATGTCATATTCTTTATGGTGCTTAAAAAAAATGTTTTCCTTGGGGGGAGCACACATGAAAACTTTCAGGTGCTTGTGCTCAGCAGGCACCTGAACACGGTTTCCATGTATTTTGGTAGCCAGAGAAAAGAGAGGCTCTGGATGAARGTATTGTTGGCCTTAGCAGAAAACTTGTCCTGGGTAACTGAGCGGTTCATAGTAGCTTACAGGGTGTTTGTGGTGTCTTCTAAGACTGCCTGGTGAGGCAATGGCCTTGAAGGCAGGTTTCCTGTCTCAGCCCCCTCCCAGCCTCCACCCACCACAGCAGCCAGGCACTGGCAGTTACTGATAATGGAGAGACACTACTGAGTGCTTTTGATGTTAGCATCAGCAACTGCTGTAGCAGTTTCAACTGGATTCTTTTTCATGGAAGTGAAGGTTACAGGAAGTGGAAATGGGGCTCTACTACCAGAAGGAAATTTAATCAGTGGCGGCATAAGAATGAGCCTTGTGAACTGTTGCCGTCTCCAGGGTGAATAGGACCAGGAGGATTCTGACACAATGATGGTTTGACAGCCCATTCCAGGTCAAAGTGACCTGAGACAAAACCCAGGACAAGACCCTGTTAAGCAGCATGGGAAGATATCAAAGAAAAAATAAAGCAGTTCTCTAGCCCAATTGACTACAGGGGAACAGGGGCAGAGAAGGGAAACAGCACTTGTTCAACATTTGCTACTGAGTTAGAGATTATTCTGTGTATTTTTATCATACCACCAATCTTCAAATGTGGAAACTGAGGTTCAGGGTAAGTAACTTGCTCAAAGCTACATGGTGGTGGAGTGAGAGACAAGTGAAAATTAACCTTCAAACTAGAAGATGAAACTTTGAGAATACACGTCATCAGCATTAGTGAAGAAGTGTCTGGATTGGGAATGTAGCTCAGTGGTAGAGCACTTGCCTAGCATATGTGAGTCCCTGGGTTTGATCCCTAGCACCACAAAGGAAAAAAAAAAATGTCTTTGAGGAATGGGAAATGAACTGCAAGTTATAGACAGTTCTAAAGTGGCCTGCTGAGGTTGGTCCAGCCATGCATTATTTGTTTTCTTCCCACTTCTCTATATGGCCACTGCCTCAGTATGTAGAGCCATCCGGTCCCTTTTCTTAATCTCATTTGTCCTTAATAAAACACTCCTAGGAGGTTGTCAAGGCAGATATTTATTTCCCACTTTACAGACAAGGATGATCAAATCCCTTGGGGTGAACTGACTTGCATTGCTACCCAACAGATAGTGGTGAATCAGTCAGACCTAGCATTAAAGACATTAAAAGACACAAGGTACATGGGTGCATGCAAAGAGAAGAGGAGGTGGGGCCTCCCTCAGATAGAAACCTACACTCAGAGGCAAGTGTGGTGATATACACAGAGGCTTTGACCAAGAGGAGAGTTGGCCAAGAAGCTAAGGGAAAGGTAGGCATGCAGGGGCCAGGAATGCAGAGTGCTTTTAAGTGATTTCAATGTTATACAGGTTCAAAAAAGGGGAAAAGACAGGTCAGAAGTCAATCTCATCAAGCAAGCCAAAAATGAACCCAACTCACGTCAATTCAGATGAAATTCAAGACTGCTCAGGAAGAATTAGGTAAAAGGGAATGTGGATATGGAGAGTCAATGTCCAGGTGGACCTGGTCCAAGAGGTAGAGTATAAAGGACAGCAATGGGTTCCACCATCCTGCTGTCCTTTGCGCCCCTGTCTAGCCCATATACAGAGAGATGAAAAAAATCAGCCTAGCCTTGTGTGTACCTGAGCTTTCCACTGAAGCTGAGCTATGATGTCGTTGCCTTTTGCTGGGTAGAAGCCACAGGGCCAAGGCTGGGCTTTGGATATAACTTCATTTTTCTCCTCACTCTTTTAGGTCATTGAGTGCATTACCCAAGGTCGTGTCTTGGAGAGGCCCCGAGTGTGCCCCAAAGAGGTGTATGACATCATGCTGGGGTGCTGGCAGAGGGAACCACAGCAGCGGCTGAACATCAAGGAGATTTACAAAATCCTCCATGCTTTGGGGAAGGCCACCCCAATCTACCTGGACATTCTCGGCTAGTGGTGGCTGGTGGTCAAGAATTCATACTCTGTTGCCTCCTCTCTCCCTGCCTCACATCTCCCTTTACCACCTCACAACTCCTTTCTTCCATCCTTGACTGAAGCAAACATCTTCATATAAACTCAAGTGCCTGCTACACATACAACACTGAAAAAAAAGAAAAAAAATAAGAAAGAAAAAGAAAGAGGAAAGAAAGAAGAAAGAATGAAAAAAATCTTGTAAGGCAGTTTGGCGTATATATATATATATTTATATATCTAATTATCTATCTATATCTACAGAGAAATAAATACCTTCTCTAATACTGAGAGAAGCTGCTGATACAGAAAAACTATAAAGACTTCAAACAACTCAGAAAATCTTAAATATTATTGACGCAAMTGAAAATTCCCTTGACTTAAGCTGTGGCCCGGGCTTCTTCAGCTCTGGCTTTTTGGAGCAGGAGACCTGGACCATGTAGAAAGACAATCTTCACTTTGGGATGGGAGGAACCAGGGTGGAATCAATTACTGCTGCACATGCGTGTCACTCCTGTAACTCAGTACAGGCRCATGCGCAGACTACAACTGTGCTCAGCAAGGAAATGACACTGGAAGACCGGGGCCCTCAAGTTGGCCCTGCCCTTTACCTCCATGCCCCAACCCCGCTTCCTCCACTGCAGGACAGCTTTCCGATTTGTCCTTTCTACAAAGTATAGTCCTAATGCTTTTGGGAATCAATGATGGCGCCTACGGGTAAACACTGAACACACACCTCCCCCACAAAACCACTCAAGAGCAGACCGCATCCAACTTGGATGTAAAGCATGCTCAAGTTCCTTCCTAGATTTGAAAGGGATGTGTCATTCTATCTTATGAACTTAAAGAACTGGACTTTCTGGACTTAACCACACAAGAAAAAAAATATATATATCTACATAACAGCTGAAATCTGAACCCTGACAAGGCACTGCCACCCATCTTTCTATCACTGGAAAGACTCCTTGACCCCACATCCGGGTTTCAGGGCCCTTGGGCAGTTTTGCAGATTAGGAAACAAGTTCCCTGTGTTGTCTGCTAATGTAGACACAGTAGGCTGCAGGGTTCCAATAGCCAGAGACTTAGTTGCTTACAGGCCATTTTTAGGTGTGTCCCCAGGGTCCTCTCTGTTTCTCCTCTTGCCTTCCTAGCTCCTAAAGCCCAACTCGTGGTCCCTTCACTAAATCCTGGGTGAACCCCACCACCAGGGAAGGAATCCAGGTTTAGTGAGAGCCTGGGGCAGTGCTGTGTTCCAGGGAGGCCAGGCAGTGGCATGGGCAAGAGCCAGCAGGGAAGAATCCACTTGGCACCTGCACTGGGTCCTTGGCATGCTCCTCACGTTTCCAGCCCCTGGAAGGATTGATGCATCTGCCTTTGAGCTGTTGTGAAAAGGCAAGGACTGAGAAATCGCTTTTGTGGGCTGGGGGTGAGGGGAGAGGCTGAAGCTTCTCTGGGAGGTGTCCAATGAGTGGCCGATGCCACAAGCTTGGCATCTTAATGAGGACTGGGCTCTGACCAGGGAAGGAAAATGAAGCAACTGGACTGGGGCCAGCTCCCTCTGCCCCAGCACCAGGGGAATCACTGCCTTCCAGGCTGCTGCCAAGGACTGCAACAGAGCAGATCTCTGGGCCTCTCTGACACATGACAACAAAATGCCAGTAGAAGTCAACAGCCTAGCTGCACAGAGCCCTCCTGCTGGGGAGGAGGGAATGTACCCCTCTGGGGAAATCTGGCCTCTTCGCCTCATCCCAAGCACAGAGCTACCTAATGGACTGACCTTTTCCTGACTGAAGCCTCCTGGGAGCCTCTGACTTGTCCTTTTCCTTGCCTACTGAAGGGACTATATGCAACCTGGACACCCTGGTCAGCTGAAGGCAGCTGAAGTGTGGGCATCCTTGGTGGGGGTGGAGGACTGAATGATGTGTTTGCAGCTTTGCTTCTTTTTTTTAGACCCACAAATGTTTTTATTCAAATAGAAAAGAGCTGTGCTCAGATCGTAGCCACAGTTGGGATTCAGGGATCAGTAAGGCTGCTCAGCTGGACTGGGAAAAGGACTCGGTAAACTGGGAGTTCAGTATAGGTCTTCCTGCTGTGCGGTGTGTGCCTAGCTCCTGAGGACTTTGGGGAAAAGTTCTTTGGATTGACCACCTTAAGAGAATCTTTTGTTATCCTATAGCAATTACTTCTCTGTTCTACTAATTGCTCCACGTGAGGCTCTTGGTCAGTGCTGGGGATGTGAATGATGGATGGAACTGCACAGCTTGGTTTTGATTGGGGTAACCAAGGGAAAGATGTCTAGGGAGGGAATGACCTGGGGGTGGGGGACCTAGGGGAAAGTCTCTTCTGGTGAGAAGGGATGTTCCAAGGCTCCTCTTGCTGCTCTTTTCCCTTATCCTTCCCCAAACAGACACAGTGTGGCTTTGGTCGTCTGGGCTGTGTGTTTCTAGAGCCTCATAGTCACTAATTGGTTGAGAAGAAGGGGGAAAGGAAATAGGTTGGCTGGTGGACAATGAGGGGTGCCCTAGAGTTTCAACTCAGTGCACTGCATCGTGGCCAAGTGAAAGAAGCCAATTCCTTAGAGAACAAGGAGCATGGAAGGATACCAAACTTGTCAGCTTGCCCTTGTCTTAGTCCACAGGCCTCCACATTGGCACTGGGGTTATTTGTTTGCTGTGTCCCCCATAAATACCTTCTGGATGGGAGATTACAAGAGAGAGTACTGGAGACGGGGACTTAGGAAGACTCACTACCCTGCTGTCCTCTCTGTGTAGAGTGTACTTTACATGTTAACCTTGACAGGTTAAAAAAAAAAAAGGAAGAAAAAATTGAGAGTAAAGGAAGCAGAGCCTAGGGCTATGGAAACTGGGCACTCTGGGGACCTAGGAGTGTGCAGAGTGCATTTTTTTTCCTTCTGTACTGAGGCAAAACAAATAAGACTCAGTTTACTGTGTTTTCAAATTCAGGGGTACCCTGGCTAATCTGCAACCCCCTTCTAGCTCTGAATTCTTCAATTCTAACAGTGTCTAATTGCTGGGTCACTTTTTCTCAGCATCACTCTGGAATCCTGGGCCTCCTGGGTCTCCTGGGCCTCTTGGGCCTTGCATAATGGGGTGGAGTTGCTGCTAAGGGTGCTCTTGGCTTGGGCTGGGTGGATTTATGGAAGAGAAGCCTCTCTTTTTTTTGCACTCCTGTCACAACAAGTGAGAGTCTGAAGTTTTTCTGAGACTATTCTAGACTGGGGGGAAACATTTGGTTTCCTTCCCTATCCTAGCCTTCTACCTAGTAGAAAAGCAGCATTGAAGGTCTATTTATTTATTTATTTATTTTGGAAGAGCCTAATGTGGTTAAAGGAGTCTTGAAATGACATCCCGTCGGCCAATATCGCCTCTCTTGTCTACTCCATCCTCCTCTCCCATACCCAAATATACACTTTAAAAGACCATGCCAGATCAACTCTCTCAACTTAGCTTGAAGCCAGCTTCTTTGTAACTCTTGGTGAATGTTCCAGGGAGCCCAGGCTGATCACCCTGCAGTGCCATCCTTAACCTGGTCCCCCCTGGACTGAGTGAAAGTGACTTGCTATTGGTGGTCCACTTTGGAACAGGGTGCCATGGCCAAGGGTCCACTCAAGAACCRAATGCTGCTCTCTAGATCTTGGAACTGTGAGTGGACCTTGGGGGTCACTAAGTCTCCTCAAGTCAACAGACAAAGGACTTGGTGCTTCCTCTATCAGCAAATCATGCACATGTTATCCCTGGAAAGAGGCTGCCCACTGGAGGTAAAGGGTCCCTAGTCCTTCTGTGTTCAGGTTGAACATTAATGTTCTTCCCTGGTGATACCTACTTTGCGGAATACACTAGTGCAAGTATTTCTGGTGCTAAACACTACAGAAACCAACACCAACAGAAGAGTAGTCAGTCAGTTTCTGGGGCCGGATGAGAATTCACTTAGAAAAGACAGTTAGTCAGTCATGCCAAGAGTGTACAGAATACATCAGGAAAGACCTGGCTTTGTTCTTAGTTTCCCAGGAGACTTTGGTTAAATCAGCTGATTTCTCAGATTACCAAAATTTCCATCTGAGACCTTTAAGAAATCGGAATATATATTTTTAGGGTTCATTTCAATTTTTTTTAAGTGTGGTTCCATTTGCTTTTGCTTTTTCAAGCTTGTTTGTCAGGAATGAGAGAGAGGAAAAGAAATAAGAGAGAAAGTGAAGGTTATGAAGGGAGAGGAAGAAAAGTCACCAGTAGCAAAAAATTGATTATAGAAGGCAAATAGAAAAGGTTTAATGACTGGTAGGTTTGAGGGACGTTGGCTGGGAGATCCAGGCATACAAGCCATGTCCCAATGTTTGTACTCTACCAAGGAGGCCACCTTGTACCTAATACACCTATTTCCACTCCACACTGGCACACCCAAAGTTGACAGAAACTTTTCTAAGATATGAAGATAGTCCTGCCTACCTTTCATTTAACCACTAGCAATCTGAACTCTTGAGTCAAAAAACAAGAGGTTTTTATCTTTAAATGCTAATTGTAAAGGATTAAGATGCGGGAAAGAGGGTGGGATTGAAGTCTCAGACTCTTTACCCAAGTCCTTTTTCATTCAGGAATGAACTACTGGCTTCCTTGCTCTCCTTTTCTGAACTAAACAACAATAGTATGGTCTTCACTCTGAGATCTAGTCAGTACAATGAAAAATCTTGAAATCTCGGATCTTTCCAGTGCTTTTCGGAGAGTCTGGAGCATAGAAATGTCTATAGATGATTATTGAATAGGCCTATATGCCAGCAATCCAGAAAGCTGCCTTGAGATGCCTCTGAGATGCCTATTGTTTGCTTTGGTTAGGGACCAACTGCTAGAATACTCAACGGTATTTGTCTTAGAACAAAAAAACGACACCTTTTAGTCTAGGCATTGAGTGCTGTAGTCATTGTGGTTTTGGTTCCTTGAATTCTGCTGCCTCTTTGAGTCCAAATAAATTCTTTCAGCCAATGCTTAATACGTTCTAAAGGGAAATTCCAAACTTTTGTATCAGTATTAAAACATCAAGATAGGCTTCGAAAATCTTTCAATTGCTTGAAAACCCCCGGAGTATCTTCTTAAGGGACATATAGGCCTATACACATTGTGTGCTTGTAT